CCATACTGCCCCGAACTACATCACTGACCTAATATCCAAGTACCGCCCAGCACGCACACTCCGCTCCTCACAAGACCTCCTTCTCTCTAGTTCCCTGGTCTCCTCCTCCCATGCCCGCCTCCAGGACTTCTCCAGGGTGTCACCCATCCTCTGGAACTCCCTGCCCCAACCCATCAGATTATCACCTACTCTCCTCTCCTTTAGGCGCACCCCAAAAACCCATCTCTTCAGGGAAGCCTACCCCACCCCCTGCTAACTTGCCGACCTCCTCCACTCTTCCTACCACTCCATCCCCCACAGCTATCTCCTCCTGTGCCACCATCCCCTCCCTCCTAGATTGTAAGCTCGAAAGAGCAGGGCCCTCGAACCCCTCGTGTATCACATTGTATTGGTATTGTTCTGTCACATGTTCTGTCCCCCTTTGTAATGTACAGCGCTGAGCGAACTATTGGCGCTTTATAAATACTGTATAATAATAATAATAATAATAATCATGTACAGGAACCGGAAGACATTGCATGCGGAACCAAGACTCAATTTGGAATAAATGCCATTTTATTAAATTACAAGGAACTATAGACGATTTTACATCTGAACCGCGGAAGATATCAATAGTGGGCTGGAGTAAACCAGACCTCACTCCCAATTCACATCAGAAAATTCGCAGTTCAGCCCAAAAAAAACAGAAATTCCTAGGGCAATCTGTAAACAAATATTTTTTAAAAAAAGGGAAATCTAGTGTATACTAAATCACTGATGACACACTGAAGTGGATAAAATATTCCAAAACAGAAGACAAAATTACAATAATATGTTCCACTATCTGCAACGCCATCTAGTGTTCAACAAACAAACAAAAAAAAGACTAATTTTTTTCTTTTTTTAGACAATTTTTCTCTAGTTACTACATTTGTATGGCCATAAGTAACGTTTTTTAAGCATACCAGTGTTTCCAATGAATGTCATATAAAAGGAAAGATACTAACTAGGGGTTGCTAAGATGGAATGAGAATACAAAACCTATTTGTAATATGACAATAGCCTGTGAAAGGTCTCCTCGTTTGTGAATTTTGTTGTATTAAGTGATGGTCTTAGCACTGTGCACAATGCCATTGTTTCTTTTGCTTTCTCTGTGCATCTATTGTGCTTGTATATCTCATATTGGCTAATGAGAATAAATGGACCTAGGGCAACATAACAGAACAAAAACACATCAGATGTCTTTGTTAATTAAAAAATAAAACAAGAAGTTATCAAAACAGCACCAGAAGTGATAGTGAAGGCCTATGGTGGTGTATTGCGAGTAGTCACATATGACATCAAATGCTTCCACAATATTGATTATATCGACTGCCTCATTAGATGGTTACAGTACCATGTTACTATGAATGCTTTAGGATAGTTCATAACAAGAAATGCTGAAGATCAACTACTGGTAAGGTGGGCTTCACACCACAGTAAACTGATTAAAGTAAATTTACTATCCATTACTTAGAAGACTACCTCCAAATACATTTTCAACAGTGTGTTAATACATATCTAAGCCAAAAAGCAAAAATTGATTATATTGCAGCTTACCAATGGTTTGATGTGGTGGTTGCATTAGTTTCCTTTTTTTGGATATTTTCCTTTATTGCCACTTGGTAATCCAGCAAGTAAGTCTGTTATTTTTCAACTACATTTACTAGACCAAGCTGTCCAGCAAAAGTGACAGTTAAAGGGTTGAGACAAACCATTTAACAATGGCAGTGGTTCTTATAAAGGGCAGCTTTTATATATATATATATATATATATATATATATATATATATATATATATATATGTGTGTGTGTTTTATTCCCCTTTCCAGAAAAAAACAGTTTGCTCTAACGGCTTATAAAGTGTTCGCTGCAATTTGTCTTTGATTTGTTTCTGAAGTTCATCTAAAACTGCTAGTGCATCTAACACATCCTCCCAGTAATACATTTACCATCCTGGGTGACTATGCCACTGATTCAAAACAATTGAAACAGGGCAGAATGACCAAATCTCCCCCCTCCTCTTTTTCCTATGACATATAGGGGTGGGAGTCTGTCGTCTTCTAAGGTGATTAGGAGCAATGTAACTGATTAGAATTTTTTGCTCTTGTTAAACAAATATAATGTTTTAATTGGTATATTTAAGAGATTAAATAAGAGACATTTTGAGAATTGTCAGGGTTTACACACCCTTTAAAGATGAAATTTAAAAAGGGAACCTTAAAGAGGAATTTCACCCTGCTTGTCCAAAATGACCCTTTATTTCCTTAACAGTGGTCCTGTCAGTGGTGTATTTAGGTTTTGTGCTGCCCTAGGCAACACAAAAATTGGCGCCCACCTCTCCGTAGAAAGAGCCTGACATTGACCAAGGATACCCATACCCTCCACCCGAGCCTTCCACTCCCACTGCCCCCATACACCAGCCACCATCCCCCACGGTGAGAGAAAGACACCTTCACAGCTCCGGACATGCCCAGGAACGAGAGTCGGGCTGTGCATACACTGTCATGAAACCCACAGCATCTTTTGGAACCTACCAGGTCCCCATGCCGCGTGTTTCCCTTCTTCCAAGGAGCAGTGCTGCCCCCCCCCCTGTAAAATGCCGCCCTAGGCAAATGCCTTGTGGTAAATACACCCCTGTATGAAAAAAAAACCCACACCTACTAGCCCATGGAGTCCAGTGTTTTCTTGCTTGCAGGCAAAGTCCTCCCTACGCTACTCATTTCCAACACTGCCATCTTGAATCGAGAGCCTGCGGCATGTTTGTGCATGTGGTGAATCACCCGCACTTGTGCACACATGCTGAAGGCTCTGCCAATGTACTTGCTGAGACACTGCTGCATTTCTGCATTCTAGGATGCATGATGTAGACATTCCAATAGGTAGTTTGCTTGATCTCACGCATGTGCAGAATAACTGTGGGGGCTCCCAGGGAGACCAAAGGCATGTCTGTGGATGTGCACTGTACATATACTGTGTGTTGTCTTTGCCTAGGCAAGGATTGAGGATGCAAAGTTAAAAACAAAAACAACAAAAAAAAGTGTAGTTATGTAACATGGAGCAAGGTAGGTCCCATATACAGTTGTGTTCAAAATAATAGCAGTGTGTTGAAAAAAGTGAATAAAGCTCAAAATCCTTCTAATAGCTTTTATTTCCATACACACAAATGCATTGGGAACACTACACATTCTATTCCAAATCAAAACATGAAGAAAAATATATCAAATTTGTGTTGTTCCTCTAAACAAAATTGAAGAAAAGTGAATATTAGACTGTTCAAAAAAATAGCAGTGTTTGTATTCTTCTTTACAAACTCAAACATTCACTATATAAACTGAAAAATGTTTGAAGATTTTGCTTTCCTTTGAATCACTTAATTAATATTTTGTTGTATAAGCACTGTTTCTGAGAACTGCTGTAACATCTGTGTTGCATGGAGTCAACCAACTTCTGGCACCTGTGAACAGGTATTCCAGCCCAGGATGATTGGACTACATTCCACAGTTCTTCTCTCTTTCTTGGTTTTGCCTCAGAAACTGCATTTTTGATGTCACACCACAAGTTTTCTATTGGATTAAGATCCGGGGATTGGGCTGGCCACTCCATAACGTCAATCTTGTTGGTCTGGAACCAAGATGTTGCACCTTTTCTGGTGTGTGTGGGGTCGTTGTCTTGTTGGAACATCCATTTCAAGGGCATTTCCTCTTCAGCATAAGGCAGCATGACCTCTTCAAGTATTCTGATGTATTCAAACTGATCCATGATCCCTGGTATGCGATAAATAGGCCCAACACCGTGGTATGAGAAACATCCCCATATCATGATGCTTGCGCAACCATGCTTCACTGTCTTCACAGTGTACTGTGGCTTGAATTCAGTGTTTGGGGGTCGTCTGACAAACTGTCTCCGGCCATTAGACCCAAAAAGAACAATCTTACTTTCATCAGTCCACAAAATGTTGCGCCATTTCTCTTTAGGTCAGTCAATGTGCTCTTTGGCAAATTGTAACCTCTTCAGCACATCTTTTTTTCAACAGTGGGACTTTGCAGGGGCTTCTTGCAGATAGCTTGGCTTCACATAGGCGTCTTCTAATTGTAACAGTACTCACAGGTAACTTTAGACCTTCTTTGATCTTCCTGGAGCTGATTGTTGGCTGAGTCCTTGCCATTTTGGCTATTCTTCTATCCATTCAAATGGTAGTTTTTTTGCTTTCTTCCACGTCTTTCAGGTTTTGGTTGCCATTTTAAAGCATTTGCGATCATTTTAGTTGAGCAGCCTATCATTTTCTGCATTTCTTTATATGTTTTCCCCTCTCCAATCAACTTTTTAATCAAGGTACACTGTTCTTCTGAACAATGTCTGGAACGACCCATTTTCCTCAGAATTGCAGAGAGAAATGCACTGTAACCAGCTTGTACAACATTTGCTGCCTTCCTTCCTTAAATAAGGGCAATAATTGCCACCTGTTTTTCAAAGAATGAATGACCTCACTAATAGAACTCCACACTGGTATTATTTTGAACATGGCCCTTTCAATTAGTGATTCAATTACACAGAATCAGCAGCATGCACGTCATGACTGTTGGGTCTGTTGGATTTCTATTACTCTACTACACCTGCTAGTAAAGTATTTGCCGTGTAGAAATATAATTTCTACCAAAAACAGTGATTGATCAGGTTAGTGATGCCTGACTGCTATTATTTTGAACACAACTGTATATATATATATATATATATATATATATATATATATTGTGGGAACTAGCATCAAATGGTAACGTTTTCCAGCACACAGCCACTCGCTTTATTTCCTTTTCAGGCCTTATAGCCCAATTTTATTTAAAAGAAAATTCCACAAAAGTGCTTCTCACGCAGGGGTATCCACACATCAAACAAATGAAACAATATTCAGCCTTCTGGCTCTCTCAGGTATGCCGCTATACATCTGTCTGCTAGACTCCTTCCAAAAGGGCCTTTAACACACAGCTAGCTCCTTGCTGCTTCTGGCTTCCACCTCACCTAGGTGGAGCCCTCCTGACTCCTGGGCACTGACCTCTTGTCTACCGGGGTGGGGAGCAGAATCATGGTTTGAGTCTCTACAAAAAGGCCTGCACACACCTGCGCAGTGTGCTGGCTACTCTCAAAACCTGGACCCAGGATTGGAGATTTCATCCCTCCCAAATCTCTTAGAAATCTCTAGTCCACAGGTCCCAAAACAGGCTTTACAAACCAAAGAGGAAACTGATAAACCAGTTTCCTCTGCATTACGAGAACTGCCTGGAGCCCCTCAACCTGTATAGTCAAGAATCCTGGGTCACCACCGTGATTTCCACCGTGGCAGGATACCGCACTGCCAGAATATATATATATATATATATATATATATATATATATATATGGGATGATGCAGTGGATTTTCTCCCTATAAATTGTATGTGCAGAATCCTTTGCCTTTCTGTTTTGACCAGCTGGGCATTCTCTGCTTTTTATGGTTTAAATTGTGTTTTGTTCTCACCACAGCCATGAGTTTTTCTAGTAAGTCTATCAAATCTCAACAATTTGTTATCTTTCACAACCAATGCTGCCAGTCATTGTTGATGGTGTCATTAATTTAATCGTAAACAGGTGCTAGCATGAAGCTGTGGGGCTTGTTTAACAGAGACCGGCTGCTTCCACCCCTTTTGCATTTGCATTGTATTGCATTCTAATGTGTCTTTAAGCTGCATTGCCATGCATTATCATGTATTGACATCATGCCATGATGTGCATTTTGAACAGAGCTCTATTTGAATGAGTGGAAAAAGAATACAATTCTATTTATGAGGGCTGTATGTATTTATCCATTTCAGACCTTTTGTTCCCTAGCTGGCTGACCAATTATTTCACATAATGTCTGTATTGTTCGCCTCAAACAAATACATAGAACTAAACGTGTCCTGAAACTCATTTTGAGAAAGCCTAATCAGGGTCTTTTATGCAAAGAGTTGAAGCCCAACACAGCCAAACACCTACAACTTTTAGAGGACTTTAATGTCAGGGCCAAAACATATTTATGTTTTCATGTTTCCACCAAGACATGTGGTAGCCAAATATTTTTTTTTCTGAGAGCCGTGCCTCCATGTGAGAGGTTGATGATCACTTTGCTGTAATTATTTTGATATAACAGCCTGCCCTGTGTGTAAACTATCATACAAACCATATCCCTGCAATAGAAAAAATATTTCACACATTAATGCACATGATGGGCTGTTTGTGAGTTTAGACTTGTACTTCTGCAAACACTGAGTATGTGTAAGTGCTTAAAAAACAATAGCAATAAACAATAGGATTAATAACCTGCACAGGCAACAACATTTTGTATGCCATCTGTGGGAACTCGCTTCAAATGGTAGAGCTCTTCTTGTTAAAGCACACAGCAACTCGCTTCTTTAAGGGCTTTTTTTTGCCCACTTTTATTTAAAAGAAAAAGTTCAACAAAAATGCTTCCCACGCAGGGGTATCCACCATCAAGCAATACCAACAGTATTCAGCCTCCTGGCTTGTACACAGTTCATTGTCTGTCTCCTGCAGACTCTTCCCAAATTATGGCCACTAGCACACAGCTAGTCTGGCTTCCACCTGACTCCAAGGCAGAGACCTCCCGTCTGCCAGGGTGGAGCCCTCCTGACTCCGTTTGCCGGGGGTGGAGCCCAGAACCATGGTTAGGCCTCTATAAAAAGGCCTGCACACACCTGTGAAATCAGTGTGCTGGGGGTTCTTAAAACACGGACCCTGGATTGGAGATTTCATCCCTCCCAGATCTCTTTGAAATCTCCAGGCTCCAGATCCCAAAACAGACTTAATGAATATATGAGGAAACTGAAAAGCCAGTTTCCTCTGCAATACATCAACTCTCTGGAGCCCCTCACCCTGCCTGGTTGAGAATCCAAGGTTCTCAGCTTTATTTTGACCGTGGCAGGACACCGCACTGCCACACATCAAATGCATTTTACTTACATAAATTTCCATGTAAATAACAAATGTGGCAACATTAGTAAATATTTTAATATTTAACAAGACCTAACATTGGTAAAAAGAGATTAGTTCAAAATTGGGAACTAAAAAAGGAAAGTCCTCTAATGAAGTGGCTTTTGCATACTTTGGTAGGTTTTCTGGCTTGTTTGAAACATCCCTTTTCCCAGGTAAAATGCATTGCTACTCCAAGAGGGGCAGTAGTAGCAGGCATGGAAGAGGGAGAATGATAAAGGATGGGTGGGTAGGAGTAGATGAATACAGGGAAGGAGGGCTAGGAATACGACAGGCAAAATTGTGGTGGAAAGTTGAGATAGGCTTGCATATTAGCAGCTGAAAATGGTGGATAAGGTAAAGGGAGGGTGGATAAGGTAAAGGAGGGTGGGTGCAGGTGTAATGGTATTGTGGGTTGGGCCCCAGCAACAGAAGCAGAAGGCAGTTAGTTGACTACTGTCTGAAGGACTGATACCCTCATGGGGTGTTTCTGTTCTGTTGTCACCTGCTGGAAAAGGTCAACCAAACTATGGCAAAGTATGTATTAGCACTGAGGTTGTTCTGAAATTTCTCAGATATGGACTTCAGAATAGCGTCATTGTCCTCTATGACTTTTTCGCTTGTTTGGTGCAACCACTTCTTCTCCTGGTGCCCAATGAGTTTACATTCTAAGACAGACTTTTTACACGAAAACCCTTGAAATAATGTTCAGGTCTCAGATAAACCCTTGTAAGATTAGTAGATTGACAGTGGGAAATGGAAAGAATGCCCCCATTACTGGGTGGCCAGAGTATCACCCTTGCAGTCATGCCACTAGCTCTGCTAAGTTACATTGTACCTAAAACTATAAAGGTTCCATCACATGGGAGGTCAGTTAGCCACAGCTCAAGTAACCCCTTGTCACCCCTGGAGGAACCCTAGGGTTCCACGGAACACTATTTGAGAATGACTGTTCTAAGATGACTCTCACTTTGCATGGAACACATGACATATGCTGGCTTCTCATCCCACAACATTCAGTCATGTATGTGCAAAGTGACCTTGAACTGTAGTTTTGTAACACTGTAAAACCCATTTGAAAATTTTTGTTAAAAGGAAGAAACATTAAACCAGAGACAGCCAGAGCACCAGTATTACAGGCGGGAGGTCAGCAAAGACAGCTTTCTCTATACCTCTTGTCACGGTTTAGGTGCTCTGCCTGGATCATCCCAAATAAAATTACATTCCAGTCCCGATTAAAAGCATATCTCAACCTGTTGTCCCCAAATGAAATCACCTTTCATCCCTGTTACTCTGCTCTCCCCTTCCCTTGACCTGCTCAAATGACCCCCCTCCACCTCTCATCCTGCCGCAGCTCTTTGAAGCCGAGCCGCGGAGGACAAGAGGTGTGACTCGTCACCCTCTCATTATCTTCTCCCCATCCCGCGAGGCCAGATGAAAGAAGATAGCCTCCTGGCAGTGAGGTTCACACCTCTCCGTGGAGAGGTGCGAACCTCACTCAGGGATGTTCCAGGCCACGGTGTCAGGCTGACGCCACACGGCCCCGACATCCGCAGCATGGGCACGACAAGTTCCCTCGCTTGCGGATACCGCCGGACAAAGGCTGCGCTCTCGAGAGCGCAACCCACGTCCAGGGGGGCGTGCCTCGTTGCCGAGCGTCGAGGCATGCCACCCACGGCCCGCCCACCATTCCCAGGACGTCCGGGAAGCGCCCTGCATCGGTTTAAGAGACCGATGCCGGGCTCCCCGGTCATCCGTTCCGCTGCCAAGCCACAGAGAGATCTCAGCTGAGGCGAGACCCTCATGGCCACTTTGCAGAAGCCCCCGAGGATAAGGGGGGAGACCTACGCTAGCTGCCGCTCTGCAAAACCCCAGGATAGGGAGAGAACTACACCAGCTGCCCTCTGCAAAGCCCCAGGAGAAGGTAGAGATACGCCAGCTGCCCTCTGCCGTCACCCAGGACATGGGGGGAGAATTGCTACCACTGACCCAGCTAATACTCCAGGGCTGGGAGTACCGCTGACACTCTGCTAATACTCCAGGGCTGGGAGTACCGCTGACACTGCTAATACTCCAGGGCTGGGAATATCGCTGACACTGCTAATACTCCAGGGCTGGGAGTACCGCTGACACTCTGATAATACTCCAGGGCTGGGAGTAGCACTGACATTGCTAATACTCCAGGGCTGGGAGTACCACACTCTGCTAATACACTGGGAGTACCACTGCTAATACTCCTCCAGGCTGGGGAGTACCACTGACACTCTGCTAATACTCCAGGGTTGGGAGTATCGCTGACTCTGCTAATACTCCAGGGCTGGGAATACCGCTGACACTCAGCTAATACTCCAGGGCTGGCTGACATACTCCAGGGCTGGGACTCTGCTAAATACTCCAGGGCTGGGAGTACCGCTGACACTGCTAATACTCCAGGGCTGGGAGTACCGCTGACACTGATAATACTCCAGGGCTGGGAGTACCGCTGACACTCTGTTAATACCCTGGGTCAGGACTATCTACTGTGGGCCCCACGTTACTCTGTCTAATACTCTGGGCCCGATTACCCACTGTTGCTGTGTGCTGAGCAGGGTCGCCTTTGCTGCCGTCCGCTGTGAGCCAGAACATCCCTGATGGAGCCGTGAGTGCATGCACCCCTGTTTTATTCCCCCTGGACTGTTCTTGAACTCTGTTGCCCGTCTGCTCCCTACTTGGATTACAAATTGCTAGAGACTCTAACTTGCCCCTTGGGGACAGATTACAGTTATTTTGAGCCCTCTCCTTGCTATTCCCCTAGACTGGGTACTGGCATGCTACCTGCAGACCCCAATTGAGTGACTGCCATTTCTTTAATAAAGCTCTGTGTGTTTATCATCTGCTCTGTGTGTTCTGTCCTGCCAACCCTCCGTCACACTCTTATTACAGATTTCCTGTTCTGATCATCTTCTACAAAGTAAAGGTGGTACATTTACAAACATTTATATATTTAAAGTAGTCTAATATCACTTGATACTTTAAGAGGGAATATGTTTGATCAGCTGTCATGCTGTAGTACTGCACAATTTAACAACTGGTAATGTCACTAACTGCTGGAATCTCTATACCCAGATCCCAAGTATGTTATAATTGCTGGGATATTTTTAAAAATGCACCTGTATTGAGAGGTTGTGATTTGCTCAAATTATTTTGGATGAGGTTAGATTAGTTGCACTTGAGCTGAGTTTGATAACTTTGCTCTACTGATATCCATCTTCTATCTATTTTTGCCAAACAAGTGATGGTCTTATGAAAAAAAAAAAATCTGAGGTGGTCTAGTAAGCTTTTGTTTCTCAGAGTAAGAAATTTCTGCATCATTGGTCCCAGACAAGACTTCCATTAACTCCCGATCTGTGATGGAAGCGCGCAGAACAAAAAGACAACACTGTGTCCCATCCCGAAGACAAGCCTGAAAACAAATGTTGCAGGAACCTTATAGAATAGAATCATCCGCTCACAGTGTCTGCATACATTTACCTACCTCAGTGCCTATTCACGGGCTTTTCCAAGGCAGTGTCAATAGAGATAGATTGGAGAGAGTTGCTATGGGAACATCCCAGCAGAAAAGTGATGGCTTCTGCGAAAACAGAAAAAATAAAGAGCATGTTTGTTCTCGTGAGATACGGCTACATCTACAACAATCCCAGAAGATGTGGAGAACACAACTAATTGGGGAGCTGCAGAAGAGAGCAAACTTGCACATACTCCACACTCAAGAGTTTGCACAAAGAATTAACACAATCAGTAACCTGAGGGTATTAAAACTGCTCCATGGCTTTTAACATACCCTGTTCTGCAAACTCTCCAACTCAAGAGTTTTCTGCTTGTTTTATTTAAGTGTTTGTGTTTTTTTTCTTTGTCACATATATCTATTCACTGCTTAAGGGAAGACAAGGCTCTCTTCTGAATTCACTTGACTATAGCGTTGATATTCCGTATGAACTCTACAATAAGAACATGTGTGCATAGTCATGTGTTTTCACGAAATTGAGATTGTTTCAGTTTAGGAGAACAAAGTGCTCCCTGTATCTGAGATTATCAGGCTGATTTACTGAAGAAGGCCCTATCCTATGCTCAGAGAAGAACATAAGCTTTGAGCGTATTCGGGCATTTCTGGTCCCACAGATTCCATGGGAATGCCTGTAAATGTATGATACATGGATCTTGTGCCTGAAGAACTCTTCTCCTCCTATAGAACTACTATTCTCCCCTTGCTCAGCCAAGGAAACAAACTCCTGAAGCTTCATACATGTGCCAAAATGCTTGTAAAATGTCTGAAATGCACCTGTAAAATTACCCCTAAAAATGCTTGAAAACCACCAGGAATATGCCTAGTCTAAAATAATTATGGGTTCTGATGGAATGGGTTTCAAATGTTAACAGACATATTTCTAATAATAAACAAGTACACACAAGAAATAAAAAGTTTGCTCTATTTTCTATATTGAAAAGGAAGCAATCAGTGACTGGAGATGTCGTCGATTCCAGCACTTGGAAGTTTTCATTATTGCTCTGCTCCCTTCCCATTGTTGCAAGAGATGCCTGATTTCATAGCAAGCTTTAACTTTATTGGGCTGTATATGGACAACCTAGGCCCCATGTAAATGCCTGAAAGATGCTCATATGATTTATCACAGAATGGAATTCAGTTTTGGGTAAGGATGAAAGGGAAATGGCTTTAGGGCAAACATTAAACTTTGTTTATATCAAAATGTGATTCCCACATTCTTTGACCACAACATTTCAAAGTCTGTAATTTTATTAATCCATTCAGTAAGCGCTATTTATTAAATGGTCTGGGGAAAAAAATATTTTGCCTTATAGTCAATAAATAAAGCCAAGTC